AACAGTATTAAGAACCGCTGCTTTAGAACATTGATTTTGAAACTTGTGAATCCATTAGAATCGTTAGAAGACAGAATCGCGATTCATGTATGAATAGATTTTTATGTGCACCTCTAGTTTTCTCTTCCTCTTCGCTAAAGCAGCGCAGCATGGCCTCGCCCCCTTTGTTGCCTTTTCCTGAGGGTGGGGATTATCTGTGTTTGTTACGTCACGAACCCGGGAAGTAAATTATTGTAGGCCCTACCAGCCATTTTTGTAGGAATTCAACTGCCAGAATTTTAAAAGATAATATCTCCGTTTGCATTGAACTTTCAGCTTCGTAACTTTGCAGATATTGTTTATGCTCAAACAGCAACATTACACACTAACTAACGTTAAAAAAGTGAAATCGCAATGAACCACCCCTTTAATACATTTATAGATTTTGCACACTATAGTACACTCTCTTCTCCGGGTCAGAACAATTCCATAGCGATAGCGTAAAGGCCACAGCCACAAATTAAATAATTATTTTTTTTCCTGCTTACAGGCACTCTAAAATGACGGGCTGATGGCAACACCCTAAAACTCAGTTTGTAATGGGTGGTCAACAGTGCAAAGAATAACCTGGACTCTCTTAAGTACATAATTATGAACATTTTCTGAAGGATCCATCTGATCTACACCAATAATCTTCCCTGCTACCTATACAAGGCTACTTAACCATTTTTATTTGTCAAACTTAAAATACCATACCAATGCCAAGCCACAATACAAAAGCAAAGGACAGATACGATAAAAGTGTGTGTAAAACAATATAATCATAGTAGAACAAACTCTAAAGTATTTTAACTTCCTCAAAAAACAAAAAAAAGCTATGTTGAGTCCTTTTGCAAATGGACAAAAAAATAGGTTGGAAACTCAACTTATTGTCAGTAATCACCCCCAAGTATTTATGAGTATCAACAATTTCAATGTCTAAACCTTTAATTGTTGTCATCAAAGGACAAGGTGGGGACCTCCTATAATCAATCACTATGTCCTTCGTTTTATTAACAGCATATACTGGACATCTGGGTGGAAAATCATATACATCTGGGACAGCATGAGGGTTAGTAAATGATGAGAACATTTTCATTTTTGGGTGGAATTTCCCTTAAATCATCACCATTACATGTCAGCATTTTTTTTGTTAGTAAGCCAGTGTAACATTGCTGCTGACATTCACCATTAGCAATTCTGCATCATCACATCACCGCTAGAGATACTGACCTTAGAAAATTAGTATCATGATATGACTTATACACTTATGTCAAATAAGCATCATAACATTACCACTGAAGACACTGACACTGTATTTTAATAAATTAGAATTATAACATCAATACTACAGATGCAGACATTCTTCATTAGTATTTCTGTACCATTACATTGATACTATGGATACTGGGGCTCTTTTTAGTACATCAACATCATACCATCATGGCTAGCTCTTTTTTTTTCTTGACTCCATCATAGACATAACATTAAATTACACATGTCATTACAACATGTCAATAAATTTGTAATTATGCATCATAGCATCACAGCACTACAAATGTCAACACTCTTTCCGATGGCAAATCAGCATCACAATATCACCACTGCAGGTGTTACAATTCTGTTAATACTGTAATTCTGTTTAATAACATCGCCTCTACAGATGATAGAAAAGCTCTCCTTTACTAATTCATAACATCATAACAAAACCACTACAGACAGTGTCTCTGAATATAAAGGCAGATGATTAATTGATCTTACTGCCACTAACAACTGTTGTATCTGGGCTAAATTTATTCCTACAGGATGCAAAATGAAGCCGTGGGCTGCATGGACTGACTGTACCAAGCTGTGTGGTGGGGGGATCCAGGAGCGGTTAATGACGGCCAAGAAGAGATATAAGAATGCACAACTAACTAGCTGTAAAGAACGAAAGGAGATACGGGCCTGCAATGTCCATCCCTGCTAGGGCTGTACTGAATGGGCTTGTGTGATGGGACCCAATCTAGATTATGAACAGACTGTGAGACACTGTCTTGCAATATATTTAATGCTCTCTGTTTCGGGTTGGAAAGCTGCAACAGGTAGTCAGTTATTTTTACTTTTATTTTCTAGAATTTATCGTGACCCAGGCATTGTCTAGCCTGTAAAGGAATGGGAAACCAAGAGGGAGGGTGCTCAGAGTTGCTATGTACTATACAAATCCAGATGTATTAATATGCTTTAGTATTTGAGAGTAACAGCTCTCTGTGAAGCTTTGAAGAGGGGAGTTCTTTTGAAGACTGATTTTTCACAAGCAGGATCATGTCATATTAAAGCTTAATGTGTTCTGACATGAAATGCAAAACAAGTTTCTCCTTTTATACTCTGTGATCAGATCACACACACACACACACACACACACACACTATTTTTTTTAATCACAGTCTTACATGTCAGACATCATGTGAAGTGATCCCCCCCTGCTATGGCAGGTACCCATGTTCACATTTAATCAGAAGATTAGAATCGCTATGGCCATAAATATTCAGAGTTTGGGAGTTTTATTTCTGTTTTATTGGTATGTACAGTATTCATCAAGGTCTTGTTTAAATGTAGGTATTAGAATGTAAAATTCTGAGGTACAATAACTAACTCAAACCCTAAATTTGTACATTTGGATAGACACTGAAACGTACAATATGGACATATTGAGAACATATAAAATCTAAACACTATTATGTATTTACAGCTATAGAAACGTGACATATTTACAAATCTTTTATGTCATAAATATATTTGTATATTTACATTTTTACCATTTTATAGATATATTTTAGATCCCTTGACCCTACCCCAAACCTAAGCATAAAGATAACAGACTAATAAGTGTAAGCACCATAATTTATTTATTGTTAAATTGTCAAAATGCAGTACCAAAGCAGTCCAAGTGGCTAATGTATTTCAGTCACAGTACACTCTGGCAGAATATAATAGTTTTGTGTGTGGTTTAGAGTAGAATTTACAGAAGTATCAGCAGAAGCTGTTAATCGCTGAAAATCGTATTCCAATATACTCCGTGAAGGTGCACATATCTCCTTCAAATGCATATATTAATTTTAAGGTTTTAAAGTGCAGTCTAGTTTAATATCTAATGTTATGTAATCCTTTTAAATTGAATGTCAACTGTGTTTGATCCAATTGAAAACGTAACCTAATTATAAATGCAAAATCAGACTATTTATTAATTAATTATTCATATACATGCTTGTCTGTAAAGTTCTTCATGTAAATAATTCGTTTTAGATGCTATTAATACATCAGTATTGTACGTTTTGTTGTCTATGCAAATGTAGGTAAATAAAACCACACAAATACAAATGCTCATGAGATCGCGTTGATATATTGCACAGTTTCTTGCAAAATTGTTTACTTGCATCTAAAGAGTGCTATTCTGTTTTGATATCTTAAATGACTATTACTTTTTATTTCACTTAGCTCCTCAGTATACAGTGGCCAAAAAAAAAAAGACACCTGAAATCAGACTTGAAAAGTATGATTTTTCATTGCACTGGAAGATACAATATCAAACCAAATGACATCTGAAAACACTGAAAACAAATGTCACACAAGTACAAGTTACACACAAGTAGCAGAGTACAACAACTGTAGTCCATATCTAAAGTCCAGAAACATCTGACAATGTTTGTTTAATAATTTAAATCCCAACAGATATGTTGAAAAATGTGCTTGTATAATGTTTAAAATAAATGGCCCATGGTTTATATATATATATATATATATATATATATATATATATATGTATATACATATTATACATATGACAAAAAGAAAACAAGTAGATAATAGAAAAAGGAAAGAGACGATTTTAATAAATAATGGTTTTGTACACTAACAAAATAAAATAATCATAAGGCAATAGCAAAATAAAAATATACCACACCATATTTGAGCTATTCATATCTGTTTGTTATTATAAATATACTCATAAAAACACAGTTGATACAAGGAAGGCCACTTTTTCTATCCTGGTGGGGACTTAAACCTGACTTACACCTTGACTTATTGGGACTCGTGTCACTGTGGGAACCTAAATTGAGGTCCCCATAGGGAAACAAGCTTATAAATCATACAGAATGAGGTGTTCTGTGAGGGGTAGGTTTAGAGTTGGTGTTGGGCAATAGAAAATACGTTTTATACAGTAGAAAAACCATTACACCTATTGAGAGTCCCCACAAGGATAGTAAACCAGAAGTATGTGTGTACAATAACAATCATACATTTTAAGTTTTCACTGTCTTAATGTTTTGGGGGAGCACTGCAATACTAAATACTACTTTCAAATAAAGACGAGAAAAATATTAACTTGAATTGTTGAAAGCAGATATTTGGTTTTCATAGCCAAATTCCCCAGCATAAATATTTGTGCACTATGAGAGAACTCAAAAGGTAACATCTGCTGTTAAACAGTCTGTCATTGGGCAAAAGACCAAGACATAGTCACTTATATTTGCATACTTTGACCATATATTTGCCCTTTTGTAAATCAAGCCATAGAGCTAGAAATGTTTGATTTTAATATGTTCTTTGCCCAGAAGTATTGCCATGTTTGCAAACCAGCTTTACTTACTTTTACAAGATTACTGTAAAATTGCTGTAGGAAAATATACTATTCTTGAAAAATGATAACGGCCATAAGCCCGTTCAAATAAGTAATGGAACTGTTGTATCCTGTGATGATTTTTCTCTGGTGTGTAATTTTCTTAACTACTAAAAGCACATATAACCAGCCATTCCAGGATTTTCTATGTCTCATGTATGAAATAAATGCTGTCTAGGACCCACTGATCTGTTATGATTTTGTTCCCCACTTTAAGACAGGTAGACGCCATTTAACTGAAATGTGTTAATTTGTTGGATTTTGATTTGCTTTGGTTTTATCAAACCTTCTGATAACCCCCCTTTTTATAAGAAATTATTCTTACCAAAGTCTTGCGTAGATGTTTTGTAGTTGTCTCTCTTCCTTGTTGCTCCTCTGACATGATTCATACTTTTTTGAATATTTCACCTTTACAATAAAAGGAAATGTAACAAAGTGCCTAATTCATTTTCTGATTATTTGTGCAAAAGGTATCATCATATAACTCCACAGATGATAACAGTACAAATACATGCAAATAACACATTTGTTGTGCCACAAAGCTTAGTCTTGGGCCCTTTGTTGTTTGTTTTTCTCCACACAGTTGCATATTATCTGCATAAAAAAAAAATATATATATATTTCTTACCAAAGTCTTGCGTAGATGTTTTGTAGTTGTCTCTCTTCCTTGTTGCTCCTCTGACATGATTCATACTTTTTTGAATATTTCACCTTTACAATAAAAGGAAATGTAACAAAGTGCCTAATTCATTTTCTGATTATTTGTGCAAAAGGTATCATCATATAACTCCACAGATGATAACAGTACAAATACATGCAAATAACACATTTGTTGTGCCACAAAGCTTAGTCTTGGGCCCTTTGTTGTTTGTTTTTCTCCACACAGTTGCATATTATCTGCATAAAAATAAAAAAAATATATATATTTTTTTTTTATATTACACATCATTTGAACATTTGTGAGTATATCTATGTTTGTCTAAATTTGTGTAAACATGCTAATCTCTAGATACAAGCTTTATTTCCTTAAACGTTTCAGGGTGTTATTTTGCTACATTTGTAAATGATTCTACTGTAGTGTTTCGTTTTGAAAGCTACTATGTTTTGGAACAATTTGCATTGTGAAAAGTGCTAAATAAATTTAAATTGGAGTTCATGTTTTAATATTATTATTATTATTATTAATAACAAGATTTAAATATTTAATTATTAAAAATTATTAATAAAAAAATATTAAAAAATAAAATAAAACATTTCCTAAATCAGTTGTGTTGCCTGTGAACGCAGCTGTGTCTCTTGTGTTTGGCCACTAGAGGGAGGTATCAAGACATGAAAAGTTAACTGGCCCAGAGAAATTTTTGGGAAGGTACAGATCTGTTTCTCTGCTTATGTATGCTCTTTGTATGCAGTTTAAGCTCTCTGTTTGAGCTCTGTATAAATCTTAACCATACTGACTGTGATTAACTCTCAGATCCAGCTTTGGCCATCTGATCCAGCATATAAAGGGACATGCCACAACCGTTCCTGTAAAAGTTCACGCTCAGATGTGCCTGCAAACTATGTGTGATTTTGCAATTGCCTAGTTTCAATTAGCTAATCCCACACTTCTTTTCACACTGAGAGACAGCATTCATGAGAAGTTTATATAGGTAACGTGTGTGACACCATCAAGTGTGGAAGGGCCTCAAACCTGCAAAATGTGTGAAAAGCAATTCTGACAGTGACTTGGTTGACGTCACACGTCAAAATTAGCAAGTCACTAGAATTTTGGGTGAGGAATAACTGAAGTCACAAGATATGGGTACATGGAGAGACAACTGAGTATTAATTTGAAGTTTAACATTTAGAATGATTTAACAAATGCAGTTTTACCTATCATTGGAACTATTTGTTAATTGTGTTATATTTATATTTGTGTATGATGGCCATCATGAATACGGCTTTCAAAACTGATTGTAAACCCCCATAAAGAGGGAGAAAAAGAAGTGGACAAAGGATTAGTTTTACAACAACAACAACAACAACAATTCACCCAGGTTTGAATATGTGCAAGCATTGATGATAACTGAGAGATAGGGCAAAGGGGAATATTTTGTAAGAAATAATGGTTTTCAGTTGGTTCCTCACACAAAGCTACCTAAAGTATGACTTTAGAAAACTTGGACTATAGTACACATTTAATTTGTACCAGGATGTTATGGTAACCCCGTTACAGGATCATCTTAACAGTCAGAAATAAATGATATGAATCCACCATCTCAAATATGATCACACTATATCATTAGAACAAATTATTGCTAATTAGATTGTAAAGATTCATACTTCAGTCATACAATTTTAATTTCTTAGCTAGTGTTACAGTTACCCTTTTAAAACATCAATCCGTCAATGAATCAAACAATTAACCAATCAATTATTAAATCAAAATCAAAATAATAAAAAAAAATAATACATTTTACACATCAAAAAATTAAAAATTCTCAGAGAGTCTGTCTATCCGTCCAACCATCCAACCATCTTTCTATGGAATGCACAAAACCATCTGAAATAAATGACAGTATTGGATGGATGGATGGATTTATTGATTGATTAAATTTTCCTAGAAGATCCTATGTCCAAATCTTGAAATGCTTTTCACACTCCTACCACTCAGGGGCAACAAAACTTTAAAAACTACCTTAAAGGACATTATGGTGAATACAGAGGGTGAAGGGCATGAATGGAAAATAGAAAACCCATCAAGTGCAGTTCAGAAATGCAGTCTTTATTACTAACCTGATTACCATGAGCCTGCAATAGTTTGTGATGCACCTTTCAAATGTGGTTGCCATGGGAACGTTGGTGATGGCTGCAGTCTCTTAGACAAATTCTGTTGCCTGAGCTCATGCTGTGCTCTACTCCAGCATAGTATATACAAACAGACAAATTGTGCGTTCTAGTGGCCGCTGTCTCTCGCTCATGAAGGTTTGTTTTTCTCCAGTGCATATAGTGCGTTTGACAGCAAGTGTTTACTCATAATCAATTGACTTCATATTCTGCTGACATATCTAAATCTAAATAGCCTAAATGGAGGATCTCTTTTGCTTCTTTGCAGCTATAGAGTGTCAGTATAGGAAGCCTTCAGACAGTTCTCAGTTTCAGATTAAATATGGACGTTAGGTCTAGTTCTTTTCTTCTGTTTCTAGTAATAATATAATATAATATAATATAAT